CACTCGCCGCCTGACGCACGCGGAGCCCCGCGGGGCGCGCGGCGGTGGGGCGGGGCCGGGCGGTCCCCCCCTCCCCCAAGGGACCTGTCCCCATAAATAATTCTTTATTAGTAGTAGTATTTAAAGAATAATAATAGGGAAAAAAAAAAAGTTAGCGGAGTTGCTCGGCCCCCTGGGTTTGGGGCGGGAATCGGTCGCGGCACTGCTTCTGTTTTACCTTGTCCCACCTGCAGCCTGGGGAAAAAAATACGGGGAGAGAATAACACACGGGTCACGGGTGTCCTACCGGGCAGGGACACGGGTGTTAAACCGGGGATGGGCGCGGGGGGACGGACACCGGGCATGGTAGCAGAAAAAAAAAAAGAAAAAAAAAAAAGTCGCCTGTGGGGGAGAGAGCGAGCTGGAGGAAGATAACGGGAAAGTCACTTGATAGAGGTTTTTCACAGATGCGCAAAAAATTGTGACACCCGCCCCGGCGAGAGTCTCCGTTACTTGCTCAGAGCACTTGCCCTACGCCGGCGGCTCTGGCTTCCCTTCACGTGTACTTTTCCCGGTTGAATTTTACAACAGGTAGCTTTCCTCAAGGACCAGCAAAGACCGGGCTCCGCGAACAGCATCCAGAGCTCCAGAGCCAGTAAAAGCCGAGGAAATGCCCCAAAAGCAGAGGGCAGAGCAGGGTAATCTTCAACGTGGGAGTATGGACGTGTGTGTAAAGCTGAGGACTCGCATCAGCCTCCACCGCGCTCCTGCTTTTACTGTGCTTTTTTTCCCTCAGATACAGACAAATGCTCCATCTGTTGAACGCAGATACTACAATGCGGAACATTCTGAGCTCTGTGAATACGCTGAAGGACGGATACACATGCCACCCATAGCAAGAAGGCACTCTGCGAATGGGAGATGCTGCCAGCGTGGAGGTTTTCTTCACTGCAGAAAAGTTTCCTTTAAAATGCAAAGAGCAGTGGCGGGTGCTGCTTCCCTCCCGCCCCCCCTGTGCCTATCTGTGAGACTGAATAGATGCCGCAGATGAGAAAACAGGCAGAATTTTCAAAATCCTTCCACGAGGAACACCCGGTGAGAAAAGTTTAATTAATTGAATTCCTTCTTCCCTGAATCAACTTTTGCAGCACAACAAAATTGAAATGTGAATGTTGTTTTGGCTTATGGTCAAATAAATATACGCAGAAATAAAGGTGGGTGCGTTCCAGTGGTATTAGATGTTTTAAGAACACGGATTTTTGCATACAGTCGGGAACACATATTTCTATCCTACTAAGAGAGAATTTAAAAACAAACAAACAAAACCCCCAAAACACCCTTATCACATTGTATGAGCTGTGCTAGTCTGCCAGAAAGTTTCAGCTATCGCTCATCTGCCTTAGCACGGAGGTTAGATGAGATAGCCACTCACACTCCCCTCTAGTCCTATTTTCTATTATTTCCGTGATGTGGAAAGACCAATCTGCAGCTGATTTTGCTCTGTGGGTGTTCTGCAGTTCAGAAAGCTCTATGAATGAGAATCATATTTCATAGATATTTTCCAGTGCCTACTCTCTGTCACAGATTTCTTCAATAGTGTAATTGCCCATATTCTTATGTAACCAGAATTTATAGGAATGTAGTTTTATTTTTTCCTCAGGAAGAGAGTAATTAATTGCCATTTTTCCTGCCATTAAAATCTGTGATCACCTAATTGTTCCTTTTTTTTTTTTTTTGTATGCTGAGATACTAATGATTAGTGATTTCAAGAGGATGAATGTATGGTGTGTTATGGACCATAATCTTTTTTATCATTGCTCTGGTTTCACCTTTTCCCCACCCACCCCACCACTACCACCCCCTCCCGGAAATTGACAAGGCAGAAACGTTAGTGTTAAAAATCTTCTTTGCTTTCTTATCACGCTGAATGTTCTTGCCATATTATCTTCAAGTCCCCAGGATCAGGCACAACTGAGCTTGGACAATTATAGTTTTTTCTCAGTAGAACTGAACTGTCTTCTGTGTCTCAGATGCTCCTTTACTTACTTTTTCTACCTCTTTCCTACATCTGTAGCTTCTACTGCTCCATTAAGAATTGCATACTAGGAATTTTAACCCTTTCAACAATTAATTCCCTAAATCACCTTGACTTCCTCAAGTTATCTTCATATCACATTTCTCCTAATCAGAAACGTGCTCCAGAGAAGCTTTTATAAGAAAAAAACCTCTTTGAAGATCTGTCCCTCTCTTTGTCTCCCTCTCTCTTTTTAAATATTCCTCAGCTAAAGAAAACATTTATAACTATTCATTAGTGGGAATCAGCTTGGGAAACTCAGTTTATCTTTACTTGCCCTCAACATGTGATTTAAACAGCCTGTCCAGGCCTACAAATCGGCTCTATTCACAACTGTGAGGCATCTGAAAATAATGAAACAATCAGGCAAATGGCAGATTCATGAAAGAACAGACCCATGAACCTCCATTTACTTTGTCACTGGAACATAAAACTACCATCATAACATATGGATGACACCAAACACAAAAGCTGTAATCACCAGACAGACGGAGAAAACCATTCTGTTAATGATCCTGCAGTAGAAGGTACTGGAGACTATAATAAGGAACAGTCGATGTTCCAGTTAGCAGTCTTATGCCTTGGGAACAGAAATAAACACAGTGAGAATGAATGGAAGGCAATTCAAGCTGTTCAATCTTGTCATTAAATATATTAATGTCTGAGAAATTTTTTGTGGATTTTTTTATTTTTTATGTTTTTCAGCCAAACCTTGCAGTAGTTACAGACGTATGGAAACTAGAAGAGGAATCATTCCGGAGGTGGTCAGCAAGACAAAATTTCATACAGCAAACTGGCTCAAGAGGCTTACTCACAATCTCAAATTTGAATTTAGTTGTGGTGATTAAGCTGCTTTGCCCTACAACAGTTTGGCTATCAGCAGTTTAGGTTAATATGCTGGGCAGAAAACTGGTGACTCAAATTAATTTCTATCATGTCAGCTCAAGGGATGATAAGCTCAAGCAAAGCAGTAGGACAGGCAGGGAAGGGTATTCGAAGCATGTTTAAAGCATAAAGCATAGTCAGACACTGCAGCTGAATTTCCCAGGTATTGTGACTTCTCAGCATCTCTTTCTCTCAGCTTAAAATAGGTCTAGGGTTTTTATTCTGTTTGGTCATGACAGTGATGCTCAAAAATTGATGGTGTATTCACTTGCTGAAAATCCCAGAGATCACCTGTGCTGCAGAGGATATCAGAAAAAATTTCAAAAGTAAAAAGGAGATGACGCTTAACACACTGGATCATTCCTAAGCAAGTAAAACATTAAGCATCCTCTAGCCATTCTGTGACTCGATTTTTTAGGTTTGTGAGGTTGTGCACTCTAAGGAAACCTTGAGGAGTCAACTGAATAATATTCAAAAACTTACTGCTGTAAGAAAAAAACCAAACCCAAACGCACAGGCAACCACATTATTATCTGAATCAGAAATGTTCCTTAATACGCAGAAAATCTATGCCACATTTTGTAAGGAGCTGCAAATCAGCAGAAACTTCTTGGATGTCTAATGAGCTATTTCTTTGTATTTTAAAGTTCCAGAGTCTGAAACTGTGAAAGCAGCATTCTGTGTAGCTTCTACATACATGGCAGAGCTTTTTCTCTTGATGCTTTGACGTTTCAAACAGCAACAACATCTCAGTACCCCAGGGCATCATGATTCTCAAATCACAGAAAATTTTAAAGTATCATCTCAACAGAATGACCTGAAGTAGCATTTCTTCTTTTGAATTTTTTTTTTCCATTAAAGCACAGCCATCACATTTTGGGGACTTTGAGATTCTCTAACCTTTCTCATGAAAAAACAGACTCTATATTTCCATTACTATAAAGCAAATAGAGCATGTATGCATCTACACACCTACAGTTAAAACCACTAAAAATACAAACCTTTTGGTCATATATGTATGTAACTGTTTGGTAACTGTTTAGGAAAAGTAATTTTGGTTTAAAAAGGCCTTAAGAAAACAATATTCCCTTCTAATTTCCACTTCCTTTTTTTCGCTCCTACTAGAATCCTCCTGTCTGAGAAAGCAAACAGTGCAGTTAGAAGTGCCACCACAGTGTGTCATGGGAGTTATGCTTTGGGCACCTCCTCCTTACTTTCACCTCTCAGCAATGCATTCCCAGGCCAGACTGCATCTCTTTCATTTCTCTGATTACATGTTTTCCCCAAATACCTAAGTTAATCAATTTTTCATTTCTCTCCAGTGAGCTATGAATATTTTAATTTAAGTTTCAGGATATAATATATACAATGGACATGGGTGAAAAGCCTGATATAACTTTGCTGAAGATTGCATATTCATGTAATCCACTGTTCATCAGAGTGATCATGCTTTGAAATTCTGTGTTAAACTGATGAAATAGTTACAGGATGCAAAATTATTGTTTTAATAGTGTTGCTGTTGGACTGATCAGATAACAATGATTATCCACAGTTCCTGAAAGAGCAAAATGAAATTCATCTGAATTCAGAGGGGTGACTCTCTTTTTCTCATGATATTCAGTTTTTGTCTGCAATTATTCTTCAGTTTTCCCTGGAACATGGTAACTGAAGACATGCGGTATGCACTGTTATATTACACTGGTTTAATTATGTCACGTAAGTAGGAATTGGACTCCACACTGTGACATTCTTGAAATCATTCTATTTTGTCTTTCCTGCCACCTTCACAAATTTCTTAAATAATCATGCTGTTCCCTTGTACCCAAGAGACAATTTCACTTTGACTAGTTATTTAGAATCACACAGCCATGAAAAGATTTTGGGTTAAAAACACCGAGGAATATTTCCTCTGTGCACAGTAGAGAGGCAACATGTTCTTATTACTGTAAATCAGTGAGATTATGCTGAGACCTTCACCTTGGCCAGATACAGGTTCTTTGCCAGGAGTCCTTAAGAGGTTTACTAACAACCAGTAACCTCTTCTTTTTCC